ATTCTGCCCTAGTCCATGGCCATCCAAGTGTGGGTGCCTGCAGGCTCAGCAGAAAGGAATGAGCAAGCCAGTACTGTGACCTTCTGCAGGGAAAACTTTGCTCCACTTCTCTCACTTACTTAACATAAATCCTGATTCCTTGTATTTCCTCTGCTATTTTTATTTTGCTGAAAGAGCTTCTCTCTTGGGTAGCCCTAAGAACTGGAAAGCTCAAAGTCTTCCCCCAGATTCTCATACCAAATCTCATAGATAAGATTTTTTACATTTTTCGATGTAAGATTAGCAACATTCAATTTAAATCAAGTAAATCAAACCCTCTCAGAAACAATCTTAGAGCACGCTTTGTCCTGTAAGTATTATTAATAGTGTGTACAGTGTAAACATAGTTGGAATACACAAGCATCAATTCTGCAAAATAAACTTCTAAGCAGCCTCCTTCTGCCTCTGGTGCTATGAGGCCACTTCTGCTCAGAGCCATGGATCATTTCAAGAGGGAATTGAGGAGTCTGCACGTGCCTGTTTCTCTTTCCAACCAGGTGAGGGCCGGGGGTTTGAGATTGCCCAAGGTCGGCTTGGGCCAGGCCGGATCCATCACTGCATGAGGTCCCTTGGTGCCGCCGAAACCGCTCTGCAGATACTGTGCCAGCGCGCGGCACAGAGGGAGACCTTCGGCAAGAAACTCTATCACCATGTAAGTGTGGTCCCTCTTTGTCTCAATTCACATGCTCCAGCCATCACCTTTTCTTTTGCCCACACAGAACCTTGTGACTCTAATAATGGCCACTGCAATAGGTGTGTCCTAACCAGTAGTATGTGATTTATTTTTTTTTTCCCTTGTCACCTGAGGCATATGTTACAGGGTTATTTTTTTCCTTGAAAGGAATTGGAGAGCCTTTGCTGGGTTTGACTACAGGTACTGTCACCGTGGGTTTTTCTCTGCTTTCACTGATCATTTGGGACAGGTATTTATTTCAGGCATACAGCTGCTGTTTCTCTAGTTTCTGAAGTCACCATTTTTGTGTTTGTATCAAATTTGTCACCTAGACATCTCCGTTCATGATTACCAAAAGCCCTCAAGAGTCTAAATTTGACTAAAAATTTTACATCTTGGAGCAAGTAGTAGTACTTTTGACAGTACAGATCAAACCAAGACCATGTTGAGATATTTGGTCTTTCCTTGCTTTGCAATTGAAATACTGGTTTGTAAGAGAGAGCACTTGCTAGAATGACAGTGTGCTTTAGCAGTTGACCTATCCCATTTAAAGCATTCGTCAGTTTTATCCAACAGATAGGATGACCTTATTGGAAAAAACAAGTAAAAGCAACGGAAAGAGGAAACTGAATTAGTGTCTGGCACAGGTCAGAAAAAATTGTTTGTACAGGTCCAGGAGGAATTATATTACATATCCATCTTCCAGTCACAGCGTTGCCAAACTTCCATTCACAACCATGACCTACAGTTAATCAGAGTTGGATGAGGCACACTCCATTTCTCAGAAGCTTGTTCAAACTGATGTTTGATGAATCCACAGGCAAGACCTGGGGGCCAGCTGTGGGGCCAGCTGCATTTCCACCCAGGTTCAGCCACCTTTGCTGGCACGAGCTAAGCCGAGCCCCCAGCCTTCACCCTGCACATCTCATGCCTCCTGCAGCTGCCCAGGCTCCAACATCCAGGCAGGAGTGTGTGTGCGAGGCTGGTGCAGGCTCTGAATGGCTTTTGCACTGACAAGCATCACAGGAACTTCCTTTTTTTTTTCCCCTCCTTGGTATGTTGGCTGCAGAAACGAATTATCTAGGAGGAACAGGGAAGGGCTGCCAAGACCATAACTTCAGTTGGATCATTTATCATCAATGCAAACAGCCAGACGCAGCAGGCACCACCCTGCAGCTGTTTGCCTGGCTCTGTAACACACTGTCAGCCCTAGTTAAGTTAAACAGAACCTAAATTTCTTCTCTTTCACCCCCCAGTTTTTGTGTACCAGGACATGTTACTCAGAGAGATGGCTGCAAGTCCTGGTGGCAGGTAAAGGAAAGCAGGGAGCACAACACAGGCTTTGAAGAGCTTCAGCAAAATGGCTGGCAGGTGGTGGGTCTGACTAGGGCATGAAAGTGTGCCAGAACCAGGAGCTTTTCCTTTTTTCCTCATATTAAGTTACATGTGACAAACTAGCTTTTATTTGCACAACGGTGTCACTGAATGACTGAACACACACCTTCCTTAGGGCAGGTGGCACCAGGCAGCATTCCCTCACTTCTCTGCTTCTTGGCTTTGGTATCTCCAGGAGGTTGTTGCCCACTGGATCGCTGAATGCCGCCTCAGCATAGAACAGGCTCGACTCCTTACCCTACAAACAGCCAGCAAGATTGACATGTTGGGCAACAGAAAAGCAAGAAAAGAGGTAAACTTTTTCTTTGCCAGCTTCATGCTAGGACTTGGGAATGCCACACCTGTGCATTCAGCTGGTTGAAATATAGGCTAAAACCTATTGCTGTAAGCTATCCTTTCCATTTCATGTTGAAAATAGATGGTCTTATGATGTGCTTTTGGTTGTCATGGTCTCACTTAAAAGCTTTGAGATCGATCTGATATAAAATATTTAAAAACAAAAGAAGCTCATTTGTCTAAATACAACGAGATAGTTTGGGGTGACTGTCTCTCCTGGAAAGAGTTTTACCTTACCCAGGGAACAGGAGAACAGCGCTCTCCTCCAGTCCAAAGAGGAAGTAACGTTCTGTGAGATACCCAACAGTTCTGCTAAAGATGGCTAAATATTTCCAGTTGCTTATGAAACTGTTCCTGGTAACATGAGGTCTCTTCCAACTCCAGGTAGCCATGACCAAGGTGGTTGTCCCTCGGGCCGTGCTCAAAGTGATCGACTGTGCCATCCAAGTCTGCGGTGGAGCCGGAGTTTCCCAGGATTTTCCTTTGGCTTTTATGTGAGTAAAAGCTGTAGATTTTAAGTGTTCTTTTTAAGATCATTTTATAACATCAGGACATGCTGTTTCACCTCAGGTAGCCCGAGATAAAGGTCCGTATGCCTTTTAGCTATAAAAATTAGAACAGTTGCTTTTATCATTAAAATTCCAATGCAGTTACATGCTTTACCCTTACGGAAAAAAGAAAAAGGCTGGCACTAGACCTAAAATACGTTTTATCAGCAGCAGAGGGTGTGTTTTTAGATGTCAGTCTTATCCTTTATGGCCTTGGGGAGAAGCAAACCTGAATTCCCAGCTGACACACCTCAATCCTGCCGGGACGGTTTTGCTGCAGTATCTTAGTGCGTTCAAAGAGCCTCTTGCTGAAAGGCTGCTGTAGCACAAGGAGCCCAGCGCACTCCTGAGGCCGGACGGGCTCTGCTGCTGCTGCAGGATTTGAAATCTCCCCCTCACCCAGCTCTTGTGACACAGGTTTGCTTACATGAGGACCCTGCGCCTGGCAGATGGGCCCGACGAAGTTCATCTCTCAACAATTGCAAGGTGGGAACTGCTCGATCAGTCCAAGAAACTGACTGCAAAAATCTAATGGCAGCATAAAGCCAGCTCCAGGGGATGGGAGAATTAGGAAAGATTTTGTTCAGTGCAATAATGTTTAAGGTAAAAGTGGATGAATACAAAATCTTCATTCTAGCTTGAAGCAATACATAATCTTTCTATTTTTACTTGTAATTACCACACTTAATCAGAGACTTACAAGGCATTCTGCAAATTTTTAAAAGTAAGTACCAGAATTTCTCTGGGTTCTTTATAACACTAAATAAAATCTATTTTCTAACAGGCCTAAAGTGCTTTATTCTGTCTGAGCCAAAGCCCTTTGTATCCTTTTATTGTAGGCAAAGCAGTTTTGACTCAGTAGTTTCATTTCAGCTGCATCCAACCCTCTCTTCTCCCAGTTCCTGCTCTCAGCTGCCCTAATTTTCACTGATGCTACACTCATGCTCTCATCAGGCTGGAGGCAGCATGTGGCAGTTTGCCTGCTCCCTGCTTCTTACTCCTCTGCTTTGTTTCTCCAGGTGCATCTCCTCACGTTTTTCCTTACAGGCACCCTGTTTGTCTTCCTTTGCATCCTTCCATGTCTCCTTTTGGGCATTCTCCTGGTCTCAGCTGCCCCCACCCTTTCTTAAATATATCTAAGCATAGAGGTGGCACCTTCCCTTCTGAGGAGCTGAAGTTTTGTGACTGACACAGGACAGTTCGTGGCCTCCTCCGCTACCACAACAGGCTCTGCCAATTATTCCCAATACACCTTGTGAAGGTCTCAAAGGTCAGAGGTCCTCACCTCTGCTTCTGGAACAATCCTCTTCAACATCAGTTACTTCGAAGCATTCATAGGGGCAGATCACAGCATGCTGTGCTGTGTGTAGTTCTGCTTCCTATAAAGTTAGGACAATCACTTTTCAATTTATATGGGGTTAATCAACAATTAGCTTCAGGATTCAGGTGGTTTTGCATGCGGAAACAAACCACCTTAGCAGTGCTGGAGCCTGGGGAGAAGAGGCCCTCTTTGGCTCAGTGGCCAGGGTGAGAAGGGTGAGACTGGAGCCAGTTCTGTCCTTGAACCCAGGGCCAAGCCTTCATCTGAATGGTGAACCAACCTGCTGCTGAAGTCAGGGTGGTACCATCCCAAAGCACCTAAAACTGAGAGCTTTCTGCAAGTAAGTTGACCTTCTATCAATTCACTACACCTAAGAACAAGATTGTCATCTCTCTTGAGAAAAACAATAATTATTGTTGGTATTTCCATCCATCTTAGTTTCCTCTTGCTTCCTGCCAAGGCTGTTTCCTAGGAAGCTGAGTGTCAGCAAGTGAGTGGCTGACATGCATTTCAGACACAAGGCACCGTGCCACCACCGGTGGCTCTGCAGTTCTGCTCCAGGCTGTCAAAATCTGCACAAGATGTTCTTCCAAGCAGGAAAGCCCAGGAACCCTATTTAGCCAAACTCAGGTCTCTGACCACCCTCATCTCCCACACCTTCAAAGAACAGCTACAGAAGAACACCACCTTTATCTCATTAACAAGGCTCTTAATTCCCTTTATTTTAAAATTTTATGTACATATGAATGATCTGTATAATGTACACTCAATATAGAAAGTTTTTATATACTGGATAATGTATAGAACATTTCACAATTACACTAATTTCTTACATAACATGTCAACTTTAAGGTTTTTTGCTGAAGCTTTGTCAATTTGGTCAAGCCAGTTATACATACGAATGTCTAATGCTGTTTGATCTCAGGAAGAAGATAATGTTAATGATTAAGGACATGAGTGAAGTGGTGCAGGGACAAACCCTTTGCAAGTCATGTTCAATGGGAGTGATCACATCAGACTGGGAACAGAAGGGATGCCCTTTTGGGGAAGGGTTGGTGAGGTCAAAGTGATTTTAGCCCAATTCCTCTAGACTGTAGCTCAACTCCAGTCATGCTAATTCACAAAATATAAAAACTAGGAAAGTTTGATTCACAGTCTTGTAAACAAATATAAAGGAACAAAATGTGCTTATGTACAACAAGAAAAAAAATTCTTGTGTACCCATTTGAGCTGATCCACAGAGTGCTTTCTTGTGTTACAGTGTGATAGTTAGAATCACTGACTTTTTCCTAAAAAAAGAAAAAACCCAAAAAACCAAAACAGTCATAGAAAAAGGAATAACACTGTCATTAAACACTTGGAAAGGCAGTGAGTTCACTTCAATGTGCTGGAGGAAAGTGCTGTTCCTCGTCACTGGCCAGTCTGCCTTTCTGTCTCTGTGACAAGAACCTCCAGTCCTTAGCTGACATCTCCCACTTCGCTGTCTACGGGGGGCGGTACGTTGGGCATTACAGATGACGTCGTCCCTGCAGTAAGGTAACCAGCAACTCCAGGGCCTTGCAGGAAGGAAACAGAGTATCAGCCATTAGTTTTGATTCTAAAGAGCAACCAAACAGCTTTATTCCCTCTGTTAGCACTTAAATACATCCATCAAATCAACCAGACGCCTTAAACAAGAACATTTAAGAGGTTTCATTTAGATCCTTTGGAATCTAGGAGCACTAGCAATTCTTGGACTCGCACAGCATTTTTTATTCTGATGTGCCAAATAAATTCCAAAAGAACTCCAACCCCCAGCACTACCCGTCTCACCTACCACCATGGACGTGGCAGTAAAGAGGGGGCAGCCCTCCTCTGCTAAGGAAAGGACCTGCTGCTGAAGTGAAGCGAGCTCAGGCACACGTTCTGCTACTGGCCTCCACGTTTATGCTCTCAGTGGCACAATGGTTTTCCTGGCCAGATATTTAAAAGAAACTCAATGGGCGCCACAGGGACAAGCAGAGCTGCTGTGTGCTTGCTGTTGTGCCTTCACTCAGAAAAAGTACCAGCATTCTGGGTATACGCGAGCTCGGCAGCAGAGACAGAGAAGTCCTCACCATTAATAAATCTCTAAGGCAATTACTATAGGGGGGGTCAGTTTTGCCCTGCAGACAAAGCCCCTCTCCTTCGGAGCCTGGAATTCAAATTTAATCACATGGAAACTTTCAACAAATGCCATAAAAACTCATATTGCAACATGAGGCATTTCAACAGCAATTCTTCTCAGATTAATGAATACTGCCAACCCTCTACATTTCCGTGCATCAATAGTGACCAACTTGGTATTAGACCTTCAGCCTACACTGCTAATCCTCAACATGGCACGTTCTGCCCCGTCCTTTACTCTCCCCACCCCTTGAAGTTATCCTCACTCAGTTCTCCTGAGGTCCCTTTGTGCCCCACCTGCCCTTCTCACTCTACAGCCTGGAGCCACGGCACCAGGGCACGGTTTGTCTCCTTGCACCCAACCCCACGTTACCACTGCGAGCAGGAGAGCAAAGCAAGCAGGGCCTTGGGTAAAAAAAAAAAAAAACCAACAACCTGCCTGGCTTCAGAAGGGGACTTCTCTTTGCCAGCCCATCGGTGGCATCTGCCAAGAGACAGACCCACATTTACATGTCCTAGCACAAAAATTCCATTAATTCTCTCATCCCTTAACCTTTTCCATTATGGAGGACTCCTAACATGCCTCAGAAGTTTAGTTTCTCTGTAATACCAGCAACAATGTCAGGCAACTCAACAGTTTTCTGCTGCTGTGTGCTTGAGGGTGGCAAGTTAATCAGCCTTGTGCAGTTTGGGACCACCATTAATGCTCATTACAGTTTACAACATGCAGCTGCTCCTGGGAATGCAGCGAGTGCAGGGTGCATTTAGCAAGATGGTATCTACCTGCTTTAGAGAGCTACACAGAAGTTAGCAAGCTGCCTGGCAGAGCAGATCTAAAGCCCACTTCTCAGGTGAAGGGGACTGCTGCCAGTTAGAAGGGAAGGAGAAGAGACACCTGAGGGAAGAGAAATAAGCAAGGGAAGTTTCAAGGGAAGTGCAAATAGCAAAGCAATTCCAAGCAAGAGATAAGGCAGAATACAAGATAAGGCAGGTTAAAAAAACAAAGCTTGTAGTTTGGTTTCCATTTATACTTTGCATTTGTACAGCACCTTCAGTCTACATTTGCAAGCACTTAAACATGAGGCAATTTAAATGCAGCACAGGCCTTAAGGCAACTGGATAGTGATATTGCCCCCAGTCTCCAGCCTTACCATGTCTGCTGTAGCTTCAGTTCTTAGCCAGCAATCAGGCAGCATTTACGTCATATTTCTAATTTATAGTATTTATGATATAACAAGGAAATTTGGTACCAAGTATTCTTTGTCAAAGTGGCATTAAACGGTGCAATCAACTGAAAACTCCTGTTTGCAGCTAAAGCACAAGTGTTGCAACACACCTACTCTCAAAATATTAAACATCTGCTTCTAGAATGTCTAATTCCCGTCTTGAAAGGCTCTTGCTTCATTTTGTCAAAACACACACTGGTATCTTGCCAGAAAAAAAACAACTGCCTGTCTGTATGGCCATCTGATTTATACCTCATTAATTCAGTTACCCTCAAAAGCTTTACCAAGGTTCCTACGTTGGATTAGATGGGAAGTTCCATCCACGTGGCACATATCGCCTTCCACAGAGGATGTTAAAACTTTACCCAGAAGGCTAAACATTTAAGAGCAAATGATTGTTCAGCAGATGGCTATTGCGGGGTCAGAAGTCTGCGTCCTGTGTTGCTTTAGACAAAGTTTGCTACAGTGTCATTACATGAAATATTTTCAGATACAGCAACTAATCTGTGAGAGTGAAGATGTGGACGGCGATACAGCAAAAAGCAGCCATTAAAGCTGTCTCTGAAGTGCTGCACGTGAGTGGGGCAGCCACCAGAATGTGATTTGCTTTGACATAACTGTTCTGGGATGGTGTCCATGCTCTGCCATCACCAGCAAGGAGGCTGCCATCAGCTGGTACCTTGTGTGTGCACACAGCACTGTGCACAGCTAAACTGCTCCTTTACACTGCTAGTGGGGCTGAGGTGACACCCCTGGGGTGCCATTTCAGTCTTGGTGTCACCAGCAGGGGACTCACCCAGGGTGCACCAGTGTAGGCCACAAGCTCCCAGATTTTAACATTGATGCTGCTTTACGTTGGGTGTGCAGCTGTAGCATCGGAACAGCCTGAGTCACATGACAATTAATACAAAGTCTAAGTGATTTTGAAGAAATAACTCCTCCTCCCCCAACCTTGGAAAACAAGCTGTTCTAGAACTGAAACAGACTGATCCTGAGAAAGCACTGAAAGTTACTGTCACTCATTAGTTCTAATTAACATCCCTGCTTTAGCACTACAGGCTACTTGCAGGACTTGCCAGAGTCCAGATGCCATTGCTCTGGTACTTTAGAAACAGGTACAGCAAAGACTACCCAGAGAAATAAGTCCTCAACCACAAAAAGTCTGGCTTTTGCCAAGTGTTTCAAAAACTTACTGCATGTTTACAGCATTGAGCGTTCAGACCACACGATGGCACTACATCCTGAGGATAAACACTGTCTCGGGAATCAAGTCTGACAATTCAGTAATGGCTCAGGGCGATTCAGGACAAATAGGAAAGGGTTGCTAACCTGTGAGGTATCCTGCTGTTTGTGTCTCAGAAATGAACAAGTCATGTTTCTGATCCTTGAAGGCACTCCACACAGAAGAACGAGTCAGAATTTCATTTACCTACAGTATTGGGAGAGATTTAACACAGTGAGCAAGTGACATTTGTCATGTTCTAGGGGAACAAACCCATTTTCTAGAACCAAACTGTTCTGCAGGGATTCCCAAAGAGCGTGGCCTGTAGTCTAGACTGCAATACAGATAACTCATTTCCAAGGAGACTGTATCAACTTGCTTATTCGAAAGGCTCATGAAGCAAAGTCATTTGGCTGCTTGACTTTCTCCCTTATTCCCCAGTTAGGGGACATGGAAAAGCATCCCTGCAAGCAGCCACTTCCTGTGGGTCTAGAGCTTAGGTAGAACAGGACTTTTCCTGTACTTTAGCAAGACAAGGGCAACGTGGAAGAAAGACCCATCCCAAGTTTCCCTCCCTTTGAGAAAGTTTTCAACACAAGGTTGAAGAGAAAGGCACCAAGAACTAGCACGGTTACTGGGTAAAATTTTACCAACTTGAATATACACCCATAACACCACTACAGTTGTCTACAACAGTATTGATCCAGGAAAACATCTCTATCAGAAGTTCTGAAGAGTCAGCAGTAGAAGCCTTACTGGCTCATAGAACATTTCTCCACTTGGAGTTTGTCTTTAGTGCTTTTCACACGCATTGAACCAGTGAACTCTCCACAAGAGATGGAGACCTGCCAGCCCACGATGACTTTGTGTGACTGCAATGTTAACAACCTTGGTGAAATAATGCACAAGAGCCCTAAGATGAAACGAGGGATGTTCAGAATTCGATCTTGCAATTATACAGAGCCCCGTTAAGGACCTGTCAGTCCGTACCTGTTCTCCGTACTGCAGGCTGCGAGACATGGATTTCAGAGTTTTGACAATCTGAGCTTTTGTTGCAGATGGGCTTTCCAGGTTCTCAAGACCAACACCTTCAAGTAGCTTTAGAAGGTAAGGGACCAAATCTGCTTTCAAAGCCTGCAAACATAACCAAATGAGTTGTCTTAACACAGACTAGGACGTTCCATACAGATGTTTTACATTACTAGCATTACTGTGAACCAAAAGTATCAACAGGTATTAGTATGTTTATCTAGTCAGTTTTTCCTGAGCTCTATCAATATATAGGAGAGAAAACAATGACAGTGTCCAGCAGTTCTGCTCTGTCTAGGTATAAACTCCACTGCATTAACTGGCATTCCTATGTGAGGTGTTCTCAGTAGACACAAGCCCTCACTGTCCTGTGCATTAAGCATCAATGCTCAAGGAACTTCCTTGACCAGGTTTGCATTTTGGATAAAGGAGTGACTTCTCCAACATGAAAAGCACATGAGTTAGATGGCTTCTTGGAAGCCCCCTGGACGCTTAAATTGAACAGTATCTTGGTTCTTATTAACAGTTTGGATACCAAATGTAAAAATACCACGTTTTTACAATCTGAGAATGTACTACTTACTTGGGCTACTAAGTCATTTTGCTCCTTCTGAAACATTCGATTAAGTGCTTCACAGGCTACACCAACTATATCTGATCTCTTCTTCATTCCATTCATGAGAGGGCTAATGGTCTCCAGGGATGCCATTGCTCGAACACAAAGCTAGAGAGAGACAGAAACAGGCAGAGTACTTTACACTAAGCCAGATGGTTATGGTAGACATGGTCAGCCAAGACCTTAAGTTTCTCAGTGTCTTTAATATCAATTCCCCATTAATTAGCTATAAAACCCTGCTCATCAGGCACACAGTATTTATAGTTAGAATAATGCCCTTCTAGGAAGGCTACTAAACACCACAAATAACTCCATTTATGCTTTTTTTTTGTTTCCCCTTGAGCACTTCAGTGATTCCATACCTCATTGTCAGACAGGATGTGCATGACACGAATGGCACTTTTCGGAATGGCATTGTTCTTGTGGTTCATGGCTTGGATTATCTTGTGGAGATGACCAAGCGGAGGAACTTGATCAGCCAGCTGAGGCTGGGCACTGAACAGGCACACAGTTGCTGTGGTAACGGTTTCTAAAGTTTCCCCCTGCGGAAATCCAAAAACCAAGAGAAAATGTTAACTCAGTAAAGCCTTGTATCACCATAAGAGTAACATTTCTCCCTTGCTCTGCGTTAGAGATTTATTTCCTTAATGTTTGTTAAAACAAGCAGTTTAGAAGAGTGTGATGAGCTCTAACAGTGGCAGACTTACTAGTTCCATGAACACAGATGACATAAAAGTTTCTAAGCTCTATTTCCAGTATCTAGAGAAAGAAAGCTGTGGCTGCAGGCTCTTCGTGCACAGCAGCCCACGTGTTACCTTGCTCAGTGGAGCCTGGCAGGGGGGATGTGTTGGCTGAGCCCCTGAATGCCTTCAGGAGTCCTGCAGTCTGTGCAGCAGCGCTCACCACACTTGCTGCATTCTGCACATGCCCCTACAAACTGCCACCCTGTCTTTATTACAAAGATGTCTGGTTTATTCAGTGTGCCAGTGAGGTGCCTCCCTGCAAGTCTAAGCCATTCTGTCTGAATGCTGTTTAAAATTCAGTTTTTAGTAGCATCATTAAGTTGCCAACTTGAACATTGTTCTCAAACTGCAACATGTTAGTTGTACTGCATTTCAGTAGTTGTTGGGTGGCAGCCTTGTCACATAACTTATACCAGAGTGGGAACTTGGTGTTGCAGAACTACACTAAAAGCCTCAAGAGCTGAAAATTTTTAAGGCAGTGTACAACAACAAGTGTCATTTTCTTAGGCTGGTCAGTCATGGAATAATTAAGGACACTTCATTTGTTAAGCACCAATCTCTACCACAATAATAAGCCTCTAAAACTTTCTGAAGCTACTTCTGTGGCTTCAGGGACTTTAAAAGCACTGACTCGCATTCAGAAGTTGCCTTGACATATCAACGTGCTTTTACAGACTCAGAAAGCAGATCCTCAAAAAATAAAATAATTCACGTTCAGAAGAAAGTGCAAGAATTTGAATTAGATACTAGAAGACTAATAGCTTTAGACTGCTGAACAAATTCAGAGAGCACAATCAGAAAAATCAGCTTACATGGGGGTTATTTTTCTCCAGTAGTTCAGTAAACTTTTCCAACAGTGCAATGAGAAATTCTCTTGGTTTCCGTAGAACCCAGGCCGGCTGGGCAATAAAAATCCTTAGGAAGACTCCCCCCACTGAAAGTTCACCTTCTGCCTCACCATACACCACAGCAAAGTCTTCAGGCAGCTGTTGAATTGTAAAGTAGAAGGAGTTATTGGCAAGGGTATTTGTGGGAGGGTAACTGCTTCTCTGACATCATGACTGCGAGTGCTAACGGACACTGAACTAACTGCATTCTCCAAAACAGAGCTGTGCAAGGTCAACAAACACTTCATCTTGAAGAAACACGAGGTAAGAAGCAAGAACAGAGAGGGCAGGACTGCTGCAGTGGAATTCTTTTTCAAAGAACACAAGTAACTGAGTCTGCAGTTACACTACTGGTAAATAAACACTAGTTCAACAGAAGTACCAGCATCAAGGCTGATAAGACAGCCCTTTCCTTCCTTCCTTGCACACTTCAGGGGAAGATTTCTCACCCTCAACCTAGGGAAGCTTCCCACTTACACCTGCATCAAAATAGCTGTCCTGCAGGTGGTTAGAAGTTGTTTTAATGCCCAACTCGACCACTGCTGGGAGGAAGTCACACCTGGCCCTTCACAAACACCGTGGAAGGCTACAGACAAACATCTCCCTGATTGACCCCATGTGATGGAATCGCTCAGGACAATCATTTTGGACATTAGAGTCTTACTAACGCCCCTGAACATTTATCAAGAGGAAGTTTACTACAGCTGTGTAATAAGTGACAGGGCTTTTTCCAGCAAACCAGTCTTCTCCTTTGTTGCTGACTTTTGATAAGTTTTAGAAAGACCTGAACCATCAGAAAATTCAGAGTATTACTGGCAAAACCACTGTCAATAAAGTGTCTGATTTCAAGGTACAAGAAGTAATGAAAGCATCAATTCAACACTGAAACAGTCACATTTGCACAGCAGTGAGCTCCTGTTGGTACTTTAAGAGCAAAGCCTGGCAGTTACATACATGCCTATCTTATCAGCTGGCTTACAGTCTCCCGGGACACACTCAAAGCAGAAAGAGTATACTTTTACCTTCCAGTTAGTGTCAGGGTTGTCCCTCTGAAGTTTAAAGTGCCTTTAAAAAGAAAGTAAGTTTTAGCAAGCAGTAAAAGAAGCAGTCATCGTCTTCCCTACTTGACATCTCAGCCTCCCTCTATCATCGTGAAGTAGTTCCAGTTTCTAAACCCAGTTTTCTTCTCGTTGTGACCCCCTCCCAAGTCTTACAGCGGTGATCAAAGACCTGGATTGTGCACAAACTGCACTTGTGTCACTGAGTTACAGGCACAATATACAAACAGTGAATAAGTTGCTTTTTGCTAAAGTCTGGCTTACAAGGATTCTACTTTTTCCAGGCAGAGCTCTGCCTGACAGTTCTTCTATAGCAGCTCTGCTTTACTGCCACTAAGAGAGCATCTCAGTTAAGGAAACACTTAGTCAGTGGCTCTCCACATACTCAAGCATCATTTCTCGAACTGTCGTCGATACTCTCTCCCTGGAGTTGTCGTTCCAAATTAACTCAGGATTCTCATGAGTTCCCTCAAAGATATGAACAGCAGCTTCCGGGTTGTCTCTCATGGCATCCATGAAGACTCCAGGTAAAAATTTCATTAGTGTAATTCTAACCTAAAAAGGATGAACACAATTGACATTTAGGATACCATAAGTCAAACTGACAGAAAAGCAGAGAAATCCAAGAAGCCAAATTATTTGTAGTGCTATAATGTCCACTGCTAGAACACTACTATAAGATGAAATAGTGCTATCATTTCAAATAGCAATAGCCAATAAGAATCTAGGTATCTAATGTTAAAGTCATTCCAAATTGAAACCAAACTGCTTATAGTAGCTATAATAAACACAACTGCTTCTAGAAGTCTGCTCTCAGATTAAAAGTTAACTATTTTGAAAGAGTCAGATTGCTCTTCATGTGAATATTTCAGTCACAGGAGGAGGTTTTTTTTGTTCCATCTTTAGAAAGAGGCAGGTGATATGAAGATAAGAGTACCAACAAGAGCTGTTAAGATTCTTACCTTTGGACCCACCAGCTTATCTGCAGTCATTTTGGCAAAGAGCTCTGCAGTTTGGGCTCGGACCTGCGGATGAGTTGAGTTGCAAAACATATCTAGTAAGTAGATTAAAGCACCTGTACAAAGAGACAGGAAAACATTCACATTTTTTTCTGGTCACAAGTAGTATGACTTCACTAATTCCACATTGATTGTTCTAAAGGGAAGAGTTAAGATTTGGCCACTGTATTTAGTGTTGCAGAACCATTTCCTTTCAATACAGTACTGTACCTTTTGCCATGGCCTCTTTAATTATTTTTGTGCTGGATGTCAAAGCATACAAAGTTTCAAGGACAAGTTGCCGACCTGTCAAAACAAGAAGTATTGAGAACTCTGTGCCATCCAGACTATTAACTAATCAAAGATGAACTAAAGTGATCTCAACAGAAAGCTGTATCAAGACTGCAATGAAGCTTGTGATCAAGGACAAGTTGCCGACCTGTCAAAACAAGAAGTATTGAGAACTCTGTGCCATCCAGACTATCAACTAATCAAAGATGAACTAAACTGATCTCAACAGAAAGCTGTATCAAGACTGCGATGAAGCTTGTGACAATTGCAAGCTCAGGGATTTCTGGCTAAGTTCAGTTAGTTAAGGAATGTCAAATCAATCCTACATTCCAGTGCAGCATAACTTCTGAGTCGGATGCTTACTACCTACATTCCCTAGAAGAATTACTCCATGAAACACTACACAGTTCAAACGCCTGAAATTCATACCTTTCAGCTCACACATTTAAGACAACAGACAGGTTACACAGAACATAATAATCTGCACCGAAATGCTGTTTTAACCTAAAACTCAGCAATAAGCTCAGCCACCTGGATTAATTTCCAAGTTGGCAACCCTTTGCTTTGCAAGGCTAAGATTGATACAGTACATACTTGAAGGTAAGGAATGCAGAAGTGCCAGTAAGTTAGCGAGAACCATTGCCTCCGCAATGTTGTTAACACATTCTTGGTTACTTGTTACTATGTTCACTACCTGTAAAAGATCAGAAACAACACTTGGTTATATTCCAGCTGTTAAAGATTTTATCAAGAAAATGCAGTGTATGACGAAGTCAGTCACCTTACTGGCCAACAAAGTGACTATTCACAATGTTCACTCCTTGTCTTGTCACCTCAGGGAAGAAGGGAGCCAAGGACACAGGCAAGAAGCCATCACTTGTTCCTGCAAGGAGGAACTGACACTTGGACCCCCAATCTCGATACTTTTTAGGTGCTACTCCAACAGTTACACCATCAGATTTGTTTATACTGATTGTGTAAAGCATCCAGACAGGGTGTGGTTTGGGGTTTGTTTTGTTTGGGGGTTTTATTTATTTTTTTTTACCTCCAGAGCCAACTGCTGCACCAGGCCAGCTCCATGAACACGCAGAAGGGAGAATATCAACTTAAAGTGACCTATGCATTCACACTCAGAACCTGCAAGAGACCAAATAAGTTACTTTCCTCTTGTTAGCCTACGCATTCACAGAAGGCCATCCCAAGTCTGCACTTCACAATACAGACAGGTGTTAAATTATACAGAACTATAAAAAATGATGAAGTCCTGTCTATTAATCTAGCTTCCACAAAGCCTCAGATCAACAGCATTTCAAAAAGAGAGGATACTTCCCCCCTCTACGAGGAATTGCTTTTACAACTAACATAAAATAACTAGGGAAGGTCATAATTGCACATCTCAGGCTTTTCCAGTCTGTACATTGGTAACTGCTCAAATCTTTGCTGGTATTAGGTACTCACTCTCAAGAACATCTCCTCCTGCACTGACGTGTTTTTAGGTGTTTACTAGTATGCAGTAATCAGCTCAAGGTTGGTTTGGTTTTTTTCCTCCTTTGATGCAAGGAAGTTTAAAAATCAGCTAAAGATCCTTTGAAGGATTACAGAAAATTTCACACAAGAGATTTAAGTCTTCCTGACAACAGCAGGCTAAAATTACAGTTAACACCCAATATTCCAGAGAAGAAACTAGATGAGGCTTAGATTTCACACAAAACTTTAACACATCTACTGATAACGTTCTCCAGAAAAAAAAAAGTGCAAGTCTATATGGCTTATCACCGATGCTGAAGTCTACCAGCCAGCAAAACAAGCTTCCTTCTCAATGGAAGATAAAGATTAGAGGTCTGCGTTTTTTAGGGTTTTCCAGAAGAAAGCCTATCAGGAAAGTTCAGTTTTAAGCCTACCTGGGTTGTGTTTTATCACATTTCTCAGAGCCTCCAGGGCCATTTCAACTCTCCGTAACCGGTCTCCGTGTTGATTGGACTCTACTTTCCCAGTCTGCGTTATGGCCATTAGCGTGTGGAGGTACTGTGCTTGGGAGCCTATGTAATCCAAGAGGCTTGCAGCAAATGCTTTGGGAAGCTTTAAATTAGAGATGAGAACATTTTCAGTTGTGTGATGCAACAGTATTCACACCAGAAGAAGGCATATCCAGATAACTTTTCCTACATTCCACATATCCCTTTCTTCCAAACAGGGAGACAAGAAATACTGTTCTACTAGGATCACTGTACCATCTGGAGCACATTAACCTTCTTTACATCTAAACATAACATTAAAATGCTACCACTACTTCAACAGCACTCTTAAGGTATACGTTTGTCCATATATACAGATGGACAGCAATGCCACAAGGAGGAATTGCTACCTGCTGGAATTACTGAGTCAACCTGACTATCTGAAGCACAAGCTTGTAGAGAAAAAGCATTAAGTCACCCGAAGCAGCATATCTTATGACAAACTCCTTGTTCTTTTACATTTGTTCTGCTCCAACAGAGATATCCCATAACATGCTGGTCATTGATGGAAATTTCCATAAGATTTTGTATTTTCTCCATTCTGTTTGCAGTGACAGATAAAGAGGAAGAAGCAACGTTCCAAATGCCAGTTTCAACAGGAAGGTTTCAGCTCCATCTTACCTCTAGCTGGAAGGTAGGGACCTCATTGTAGACTCTAACAAAAATCTCTCCCACAATAAGTTCTTTTGCATGGTCACTGAAGGCAAAGTCAGATCCATAGCTCTTGTCACAATCACCCTTTAAGCAGAAAAGCAGCATAAACTCAGACAGAAAATCATCTTGTAGAATGTGTAAAGCTATAACCCAATAATAAAATAGACAATACTTGAACAGAAAACTTAAAAGAGGTTCTTCTTTGCCCAGCCCTCCAGCCTGTCCAAGTCTCGCTGGAGACTTAGGTTTTTTTGTTTTCTTTTTAAGACTATGGAATGGAGGAAGTGACTTAGGAGTAGACAACAATGGATACTTGTATTAACTACACCACTGCATTAATAAGTGGATATACCAAAATGTGGGAGTTTAAAAAAAAAAAATTGTGGAATTTAAAGTAATGAGTATCTTACTCTCTTAATCATGCTTTCTTGTTGAGATTCCAAAAACTCAAGTAATTCAGCTCTCGTCCCATTGTTCCAGATCAAGTAGGGGTTCTCTGTGTTACTGTTAAGCATCTTCAGAGTCTAAGGGATAAGTAATTTGCATGATGTAACAAGTTTACAGCAGTTCTGGATCATTATGCACAGTAATCAGTGTGTTTCATGCTATAGTTAATCTAGTCTCATGAACAACTAGACCAATTTTATAAGCAAGTTTAAAGTGTCAAGTTTCCGACATACTGGAAAAAACAGTATGTGTAAGTTATTTGGGACAGTACAGTATATATTTCAGTTTTTCTTTACTTCAAGCCCTGTTTGCTCCAGATTCTCCTTTTATTTTTGACACTGAGCAGCAACTGTCTGCAGTATCGCTTTGCAGATAACTTCTTTGGTACCACTTTTAAAGGGAGAAGTTAAGCCGTTGCTCTCTGTCATCATTATAACCTTAAACCTTCAACAATTAACTTCTTTGCTCTCATAATTGTTTTGCAAATATTACTGTACAGGGTACTGTTCCTGTCCATAGTGCCTGAGGCTAAATCAGTTTGTTTTCCTTGCAGTTACTCCAACTGCAAAGAAAAAATAAATATCACACTGCTGTTCTCTGCATCAGGTTGGTCAAAGAGAGTTCAGCGTTTCAGAAGTGACCAAGTACTCCTTTCATAAATCACTAGATAAACTTTTGGCCAACAGATGCTCACCTCAGTAGGACTGACCACGGCAAGTTTCCTTGCAATGTAGGGTGTCAACATTCCAGCCAAGCTTTTCCTGATCGTTGGGTTTTCAGGTGTAGCTTGTTCTTCGGAGAGATACCCTCCAAGGCGACTCAAGGCCAGGAGACTGAGCTTAGCAAGGCTATTTGCTACCTCCTGAAAAATCAAGCGCAGTTATAAAAAAGCTAGAGCTCACTGAAGAAACATTAAGCTCAATATGATCACTGTGTTGTGGACTTAATAAATGCAGTTAGACAGGAGTACTAATAAGTAGGAAAAACTAGGGCACCAAGATGAGCTGAAAGCACAGAAGCTCTTCAGTGTAATAGCTTCTGACCAGACAACAATTCCTGCTGGCACCATCAAATATCACCATAAATAAGCCTTTTTTTATGACAGCAATACAGGAGTTAATAACCACAACAGACTGTTCAAAGCTCAGCAGCTGAGGAAGTGCCACACTTAAGAGCATCCCCATTTAAGGAAATGGAAGTGTGAAGTCACTTACACAGCTGTGGGGCAACGGGAACAATATAGCCCTGGGCATTTCAGATAAGGTCATGGTATCACTAGACAACCCCTTCGGTTCAGCCTTAAGAGAAAAGAGCTTTTTCTTCTGACAGCACAAGTTTTCTACTGTTCACTGTGCATAAAAATCTCTTGCATTAAGTCTATTAGAAACTGCAGCTTTAACATTTGAACTCAAAACATGAGCTACTCTTAAAAAAAACAAACACACCAACCAACCCCAAACTCAAACAACAGCATTTGCACTGCTACACCAAAACCCCCTTCCAAAACTGCTCTGTTAACATCATTGTTCGTGTAATTCAATGACTCTACCAAGTATTTGAATACACTTAATGTTGTTAATAAGAGATGGCAAGCACCAACCATTGGTGTCTGGAAGCGTGCACCTCGTTAACAGTACCTGGTGATTTGAATCTTCACTCTTCTGAATTCCACTCTCTTCTAGCGTATAGTCATAGTTGAAAAGGTAACCCAGCAAGTACCAGAGAACTCCAGCTTGGAACAAGTGTGTTTGGAGCCAGTAATCTAAGGCAAAGGAGCTAACACACTCTACTCCCAAAGAAGCTACTCGTGGTATGTTCTGAAGGAGGAAAAAAAATTGCTTTAGTACTTGTGACCACAGAAAGCCATCTGGCTTCCTTACCAAACAAAGGCTTAAAGCCAAAATTTGCTAACTCCAGAGTACCATTTAAGCAGCACAGAGATGAAAACTGAAGTAGACATAACAAGTTAAGTGTCTGGTAGACAAAAAACATGGCTAATTAGAATCGAATTAGGCCACACCCTTCAAAGGACAAGAAGTTATTTAAGATTTATTAAAATTTATTATAAAGTAACTAAAATGTAGTAATATTCTTTTATTAAAAGTTATTATAAAATAGTTATTTTATTTGGTTAGAAAGAAGCATTGATGAACTGGTGGAAAAACAACTCAAGAAAGCAGCAGAGACTCCCAGGTGAGTATTCTATGGCAAGACCTGCGTTCTGCAGAGATTTAAGAACACACAACCATCTACAGTATATTATTATCGTCTGGTTTTAGAGCCTTCTGTTTTCACATGCCCCATATGAAAAGCTCAAGACAAGCTTTCTGTGCTGGATTCAAAGTTCAGCAATGATATAACATGAGGTAAGTTCTAAGTTTCTAAATAGCAACAAAACTTCTTGAATACTGCTCCCAGAGTTTGTGCTGATTTAGGAGTCTATCTGCTTGTCTAAGATCTAGCTCCAGGACTTCTATCTGCTGATTTAGTACATCACACCAATCAGCTAAACATGTCAGTTAAGAGGCAAAAGTAGCCAAATCTTTGTAGTGATTGCATTTTAAGCTCAACACTTGTATTTTAATCCATTTAGTGGAAAACAAGACAGTAGAGTTCTGTATCCCATAAGGACTAGCTGGGATCTTACAGAAGCATCTGATCAGTCTCTGCAATTGTCCTACCTCCCTTAAAAACAGAACATTCCCCTAAACATTAACAGTTAAATACCCATTTAGGCAAAGGAAAGGCGCTCTTACCTTGCCATAATACAGTAGTCTACAGAGGTCCTTAATGATGTTAGGCATTTCTGTAATCTTCTCTCTGCATTCCTCAAATTGAGCTGCTACGCTGTAACACTTACTAATATATCCACATACCTATAAAAAACAGGTTTTCTTTGATTCCAGGTGAAGGGAAAATGCATGTTTACAACTTATTTTTTAAGATAGTTAACACTACATCAGTATTTTATGTTCTATGTACACACACTTATATTTATAATCATATAATAGATATACTGTAACATATATTATGTTCTGGTAAACTGATTCAGTCAGTTAAGGTTGCTGCAACTCACCTGCACAGACATATCATCTGGTTTACTAGAACGAGTCAGGACTGCTACGCAGCGATTAAACGCTTCTTGCAACACCTGTGAGGATGGGATGATGCGTAAGTTCAGTCACAAGTCACAACAAAAACTGATACAGGCTGGCAGAAATAAAACACTATCTAGTAAACCCTCATTTAATGGCTGAAGGGAAACATTTGACAAAGTCTGCTGCTTGCTTAAATGGTTTATAGGGACAAAACTCCTTGCAAGTGCTGGTACTAGCCTTTGGTGCTTCAGAGTTGAGAGCATTCTCACACGTGAACTAATAGGTGCTCTGAAAAGCCCTTCTGCTCAAGTGATTTGTTCACATTTATCTATTCTTTCACATAGAAAATACAGAGTTTTGTAAAGAAGTAGAGAAACATCAGACGTGGTTTGCTTATCCACTGTTCAACAGACAAGCCTAGGTCCAGAAAGGGGTAATACTCTGCAAGAAGCTTCTTCTACTGCATCCAGAACAGAGGCAGTAAGAAAGGACACGTCTCAACAAGATCAAAAGTCATTCTCAAGCATACCTGATGTCTTATGCACTGAGGGTCTAGGATTTTTAGCTGTGGAAGAGTTAAGTCTAAAAAAAATTCATTTCAGTAAGTTTATTTCTATTTACCTCAATTCCATTTTCTCTTCGCAGTTCTTCTGCATTTAATGCTGAACAATTGACAGTATGGAAAGCAAGTTCTGTAGCAGCAGGCAAGAGAGGAGATTCTTTGGAAAACAAGAGATCATCCGAAGTTTCAATGGTAATAGTCTTTATCAGCATAGGATAGCCTGCATATTTGTAAGGTTTCAACTCTGAAAGAGAAAAAAGTAAAAGTTTACATATATGCAGAGTCTAAGCAATTTAAACCACAACATAATTATGAGTGGAAAATACATCAGAGAAATAAGAACTAGGAGTCAGCCAAAACCAACACCTCAATACTGGAGCGAGACTGAGCAGTCCACACAACCTGGCTCCTTGTCACCCAGCTCAGCTGTGAAGGAGGGGTAACTGGAGCACCCTGACCCTTGGCTCTAGCCACAGTCCCTGCCTGGCAGCTGGGCTGTGAAAGAGGCAGCACTGCAGCACACTCACCAGAGGACACTAACACTAGTCACTATTTCTGCAAGACTCTCTCATTTTTAAATAGCCACGTAAGTGTAATCTCATTTATAGTCAGGATGTGCTATCGGGGTGACTGAATACTACCGAGGAGTTTTCTGCATAGACAGAATTGTAGATTTAAGTTATATATGAAGGAATATTCAAACTGATTAGTATTGGAGCAGAGAATTTCAAAAAGCTATTCAAGCTTTTTTGAATTAAGTTTTACTGCAGATTAATTTATTTTATGAAAAAAAAAAAAGAGTTCTATTTTGAAGCCCTTTACCATAGCTACATAATGCTGTGGCAAGCCAGAAACCAGACCAACAGAAAAGAACAGAGGGGATTAAAACTGACTGGTCAGAAATGAACATGAAACATGATAGGGAGACAGACAGCATGCTTACCTTCCTTATGCCTGTTGAAGAGGATGCTTTGAGTTTTCAAGATCAAAATTATGTTTTCTGGATCTGGCCCATCTATCACCTTGGCAGACTTTGTGCATAGGAACTCATATGCTTTATTAACTTTTTCAAACATATCCTGCAAATAAAGAGGAACAGTCTCAAGAGTCAGTAAGAAGCCCCTAAATTGCTACAAGCCTGCAGCACCAGTTTAGATGCAGGTAAAATAAAGCATTCCAGGTTATTGGCCATAAGACTAGTTTTGTTGACTTATTACGTTTCAGAAAACACTGCAAATAACCTTAAGAACACTGGTTCACAGATCAGTTTTCTTCTGTCTCTTAAACTTTGCCACGGGCAAGGGACTAAAACTAAGTCAATTCCAATAAGACCAAAGTATTAAGTACAGTTTAGTTGATTGTAAGAATGGGCAGAGAATGCAGTCTGTCTTTGCTTATTTAGCAAATATCTAAGCAATTTGCTTATTTAGATCCTATGCAACTCTTTAAACCAGACACGTTCTGAGATGTGGGTCTGACCCGATTACATCAGTTCACTGTAGTAATCCTAATATTCCTTGATTGACATCAGTTAAATTACTCATCTGTAGTGTTAATCTGTATTCTAGTATTCATCTAGGGCATAGCTTTTAAAAGGGAGAAAGAAAATTTACATGGGCATTTCAGAACTCTTAATACACATAATAGCTGAATTTCTCCCCACTTTATTAACAGTGTAAATCTGTGTTGTACGTACCCTGCCTTCCGGATTCTTGTCTGGGTGGTATTTTTGTGCCAGCCTGAAATAAGCTTTCCTGATCTTGCTTTCCTCATGCCTATGAGAAAACAAGACTCATTACATTGAGTAACACTGTAAAACCAGAAAAGCAAGCCTGGATTCTGACAACAGTAGGAATAGTAACTGCAATTAAGTGAAACTCAAAGCTCCCATATTTCAATTTGAGAATTTTGCTTTATCAGCTGACACTGAATGGGGATAATCACATGGCCATAGAATAGAAAGAAATTTCAGGAATAGAAAATACTTTAGTATCACTTGTACTGAATATACTAACCCGAAGGTGCTCAAAGTCCCTGAATCTTCTAAATTAAGAGCGTAAATGGACTTAGAAGTGGTAAAAGTTAGTAGTTCATGATTTGTAATAAGTGCACTGTTCTTGAAGGCTAGATACACAAGTGCTAACGGTTCTCTTCGAGAGGCCTAAAGTCAGAAACCTGTGGCAAGACAGGAGATGATAAATCCTAATGATATTGTCACGGAGAAAGAGGATAGTATTTGGCAGAGGGAAGAAGGATGATTAGACAAAGTTCCACTTTGAGCATATTCGACTTCCGCCAATATTTTTGCTCACTGTGGTTCAGTAATGCTTGGCCTGTAAAACAGCCAAGTAAATGCTCTGAAGCAGAGCTTAAAGCATTTCCTCCCCTCCCCCCCCGCCAGTTTCAGTTTATCTGAACACTTTGCAATTATTCTCTTTAACACCAAGTTAAATTTCCAAGCTTCATTTTTTTTTTAGAAAAAGCAGTCTTCCACTGTGAAACAAGTAGGTGCTAGACATAACGAAACTGGTACCGCTGATCGGTTGCGAGAAGTGAGATAGGAAACTGCAGTTTCTTCGGGGCACAGAGTTCATGTAAATGTAGTTATACATCTCTAAATAACGAAAACAACTTACTGGCCTTGCCCTTTGGGAAGGTTAAGGACTTCATAAGCATCATCTATTGACATGGTAGGTGGCTTCTTTTCTACCTCCTTCTTCCAAGCTTCTAGCGTATCTTTCAGCAGTTTAACCTAAAAAATAACAATTTATTAGCATTTCATTTATGCTGACACCAGTACATGCCATCTTTTTTAAATAAAGTGCTGCTTTGTTAATGAATCCTTATCATCCATCAGTCAAAGTTCAAAGACCTAGTCCTTTTGCCTTTAGTAATTACGGTTCCCTCTCCGGTCAGGAATCGATTCAGACCGCTTCACTGCAGTGCTATATTTTGTTCAAGGTAAGAGCACCTTAAGATGTCTATGTGAGAGTCACAGTAGAAGAGGAAGAATCGCTTAAATGATCTGTGACTCACATCTTGATACTACAAAAACTGCAACAAAGCTGCACGAATAAGTAAAGCTTCTTAGATGTAGACCACAGGTTTGTACCACAAAGATCTCACCAATTCAGCTAATGTATTTACACCACATTAGCTCAGCTCCTTGTTCAGTGTGTACAGATAAGAACTCAGAAGTGATGACAGCACCACCCTCTAACCCCTCATCACTTGAGGTTCATTGAAACACTATCTGAAGTTTCTCAGATGCTTTATTTTGCTTTTTTTAGTAGTCACCACAAGGAGGATATACTTTACATGGTTGCTATACGGCATGAAGGCTATTCTGCTTCAAGATAAAGAACTGTTTAACACATTTGCTTGCAAACTGGAAGTCAGGACCAATCAGTTACTTGCAAGAAACCTAGCATTTGATTTCTTTACTTCTTGTTACAAATCCCACTTTTAGAACTACGAAAGGTCAAGAACTAAATGAATCCTAAAATACTTTTTACTTACTGGATCTTTAATTGGCCAGTCTGGAAATCTGAGTGTATCACAAAGGTGCTTGAGGTAATAAATATTACAGAACAGCTCATTTTCCAGTTGTGGATAGTTGATAACCGGGATAGGACAGTATTGGTAGAGCGCTCTTGTATTGCTTTGAAGACGAGGGGTGAAGTCAGCAAGGTGAGCAGCAATCTTCTCTATCATAAGGCGCCTAAAAGTTATAAAGTTTGGTTTAACACTTGCCAAGGAGTCCTCAATCCTCAGTGAGTGTACAAGTGTATTCAATGATTTCTTCTGAAAAGATTTTCCTTAGTTTCCCACACGTCAGAAGGGATTCAGAATAGGATTCAGGTTATAAAGTTTGGTTTAACACTTGCCAAGGAGTCCTCAATCCTCAGCGAGTGTACAAGTGTGTTCTATGATTTCTTCTGAAAAGATTTTCCTTAGTTTCCCACATCAGAAGGGATTCAGAATAGGATTTAATCCTGATCTGTTATAAAGCTACTTCAATT